TTTTATGACAGACGAACGATAAACATTATTTTAGTTTTTGATATATTAATACGAAAAAAAAAACTAATAATGTAGAAGAATGTTTTACGCAATTGTTTAAGTTTTTGACAGTGGTACGCGAACAAAAAATTACGGTATACGATACACGGGATTATGCGCATTCTGTTTAAAATATATGAATTAGATAGTAATCTTTTTGTAAAATTAAAAGAAAAAAAAGTCTAATCGCTTTGCTACAGCACGGTCCTTTAACGACGCTATCGATTAAAACACGCATTTCAATTATGAGAACGTTATGCGAGGTGGAAGTTTAATTCACGGGAAATGATTTGGAGTTAAATCCAAACGAGGTACTGTACACCTACAACCGGATGTCGATGCGTTCGAAAAGAAAACCTCGCTTACCGTCACGGACGCCGTTAGCAGAAACCGTTATTACATTAGTACAACCAATCTTACAACCTCCATTCGCGAATGGATTTTATAACAGGCATTGTACATACGAATGAGTTTTCGTCATCGTAACAAATTGTCAATCGACAAAATCACGCGTTTCATGTGTTAACAGAAATATACAATAATATAATATAGTAATAGCGCAGAGTACTCGAAAAATGTAAATATTCCAGATCATCTTAATGACACTTTGCAACGAACGTCACAAGAATACGAAAATTGCCCGTCTGTTGTAAACATACCGTTTTATATGTATTTATTACCCTCAAAAAGTGAACTTTAAACAGGCGCGCATATAAGCCGAAATTATTTTTATGCACCTTCAACACACTCGTGTGATTTGCCTGAAAATATAACTAACAGTACTACTATATTGTAGTATCGTATATCGTGATAATATGCGTTGTGTCAGTGAACTTGAAGGTATGAATTGGGATCCCATAGATATTTACAATAAAATATATGGTTTTGAAATCCTGCATGGTTTATATAATACTTATTACATTTTGAAAAAGAATAATTCAATAAAATAAACTAGGCTTCTTAAAAAATTACAACAGCATAATTTTTAATTACAATTTCGTCATTATGAAAGTAGTAATTAATTGTTTTTAAATTGAAAAAAAAAAGTTCAAGAATCATACTTATCGGATGTGTTTTTATAATTTATTAGAATGGATTACTTAGAATTTAGTGAATTTAGAATTATAATAAAATGTACCTATATAGAATAACTATAATTTTTTCAAATAATTGTATGAAATGAGTTTACACTTAAAACTGGAAAAGTTATCTAGTAATACAGGTAAAAAAAATCATATATCTTTGGTCATAATATATTTTTCGTAATGATACGATCAAGATAAAAATAAAATTTAACCATCTAATAAAGTTTCCCGTTTCGAAGGAAATTTATAAAATAATTTCATGTTCTTAAATACAAATGGCTTCGATGTACTTAATACATAATGCTTTCATCGTAGGAGGATGGTGAAATAGTTAATTGAATACATTTAAACGTGTTTGCGCCTTTGTATCTTAGTTTGGACACTGTTCATTGTCAACACGGTTGGATCACACTATTCGGATAAATACAATTTGCTGTTTTCATATTGATATTATGGTTATTTTGCTTAATCTTATTTATTTCAGAACAATTTTTTTTGACCGTAGCGAGTGCACATATATCGTTTGGACCAGTTACGACGCTCGACATGGGTAATTAGGTGATTACATAACATTGTCGGCGGATAGGAAAATCAATTTGTGGGTACTTCCGGTTAGCTTTGCAGTACATACGTGTAGTAAAATTGCCGATGCGCAACGCCGCGTTACGATGACGGGAAAACAACGAAATATTGTTCGTTGTTATTTATACCGGTCAACAATATAGACTTAATGTTTTTAATATCTGACAGTGGTAAATTTCCTTTTGATTAACATATTAAAACCAAACGTTGAATCCATTGGTTTGATTGCCATTTTTATTCATCCAAATGTATAATGCGTAACACAGGTTTAATTATATAATATTATGCAAAGTACCGATTTGAATAAAATATTTCATACTACGGAGACAATTTTTCCATTGTACGCAATCGGACCAGTGTAATTATTGTTATTATACGTTATTTTTAAATTCTATGAAAAAAAAAGTCAGTCAATAATTTTCCTTTAATAATAAGATGTGCCCCATAAAACATATCAAATGAAAAAATGTACAAATTTGAAGCATTGCACGTGATCCGAATAAAACATTGGTATTTAGGTGTAGTTAGGACTCGTGAATTATTTGTTGGCAATTGACATTTTCAAAAAACGTTGTGCATTCAACATTGTTCGTTTAGTATATAAGACGTGTAAAGTTTTTGAATTCATATTTGTATTTGTCAATTGTTGCCCGTTAAAAGTTTTATAGATAAGATAGTGCAGAATAAAACAATAATCTTAATATCATTACAGGCTTGGATCCAAAGGAAGCTAATGGACTTTAGCCTTCCCTTTGAACGTGTTATATTTTATGTAAGTATTTCATAAATACTTAATAAATATGTCCTTAATTGAAGATTGGTCAAAAGACGAATGAACTTATAAATTTTTAATATTTTATCATTTTATATCTTATAACTTTTATACATAGGTATTTAATAAAATTATATATTTTGCCTTTCTGTAAATAAAAATTACGCCTTATTCTTATTTCAAATTTATAGATCTGCTCTTATAACATTATGTAATTTAATTTAATTTTGCGTTTTGTGATTGAAGAAGGATTGTATTTAAATTGCGTGTTTTTTTTGCGTTAAAATAGCAAATTGTAGAACTTTACAAGCATGTAAATTTTACATTATATATATATTAAAATGAAGTTTCATAAATTATATGTTTTTTGAGGTTCTAATGTTTCAATACTCTTTATAAATCATTTTTTTTTTTTTAATGCAAACCGTTTTAAATTCTTTGATATTTAGTTATTATGTACTACAAAATACAAATAGGTTTTACTAAGGAATTAAAAAAATATGATAATTCTTATTGAAGGATATTAATAATGATACTAATTTTCTCTAAGAAACGAAAGAGATAGTATAGTTAAAAATAATTTTAAAGTACGTATTATAATAATTTACTATACATATAGTTAAATTTAAAATAATAATTATTATTAAAATAAAAAATGAATTTAATATTTAAATCCTTTTTATCTTTTTATAATCAAATCAAACTAATAAATTTAAATTTATTAAATGTATTAAAATAATTTGAATTTTGGCTAACACATATATTTTGTGATTTTATTGTTATATACACTTTCTTTATCTGACAATAACTTGCTTATCTTTATTTTCTTTTTATTATTGTTATACTTCCTGTTCGTTGAAGTTTTTTTCATTTTCCTTTAGCAGGTCCCACACCGCACATAAATTTTGGTGGCAAAGTTGGGCCTCGCTCGGTCGACTATATGCAGACCAGATAAGTTTTATAAAAGCGTATCCACTGAGGGTATACAGGGGTATGCTATTTTTTACCACGCTTAACTTCCTCTTTTTCATTATAACATTTGGCTATGATCCCAAAAATAAAATACATCGCTCAATGTTATTCTATACACTCGGTTCTATCGTCTTATGAAACTGCACTGGCGTGTTACAGTGTTAGAATATTATTATTATTATTATATTACCATTGTAATGCTTTAATTCATTTTATTTTGGAAAACTAAACTTTTTTTTTTTTTTTATTAAGTGTTGAGTAGTTCTCTTAGCCATTTTTTAGAAGGCGACGGGGCTTGCGTTGGAAATTAATGGATGGATTTTATATATGAATTTGTTTGTGTGATTATGGGTGTTACTAGTGAAAAAACTTATACATGTGTGAGGCTAGGATAGTTATTATTGGTATTTGTAGATTGTGGTTTAGTATATAGTTACATACATACTATGGAGTATTAGAGATAAGACGAAAACTTATGGATTGGAAAGACTGGATAATTTTAATAATATAATTTTATTCGATACTCATTGTTGGATGTTTTAAATAATTATTGTGCGAATTGGTTGTGTGTATAAAAAAGTATTATTGTTGAAAGATAAATATTTTGACTTAAAAAGTTATCACAATTAATGGAGTTTGAGGTCGAGTGTTTTAATTTTAGTTTAATGTCTAATTAAATTTTTTGTCTAGATGAAAACCAGATGACATTTTGTGAGGAATTATATTGTTCTTGATTTTTGAGAGACTGATACTAGGAAAAAATGTAGAAGTAATTTGTTTAAGTGTATTAATATTAATTTTTACCCTCCAAATTCAAACCAGTTTTAAAGACTGTATAAATGATTTTGAAAATGTTTGAATGCCAGGGTTAAATCACTGTTTGAGGCAATAACACTTGTATCGCCTGCAAATATGGTTAGAATAGTATCGGTTGCGTGTAGTATGTCAGACAAAAAAACTGTTGTACAATGTAATAGCTGAGATACTACCTTGAAGGACATAAACATAAATATTTTAGGGGCTGGAAAGTTCGTCATTGTAGCGAACTATGAAAAATCGATTTCTTAAAAGGATCTAAGTATGAGTTATTTTGTTGAGGGAGAGGATCCGGAAAACTAAGTTAAATGCTTTTATATATAGTTCACGCGTTGAATATATAGTTTTTAAATTAAAACTTATCTTTTAAAAAATTATATTTATATTTAAGTATTTAACACTCCATATATGTTATTGATGATTCAAAAAGTTTTCTATTGATTTTTTTTTCCAAATAATTATGTTGAAAAAATATTTAACCTTAATGTAAATGATATATTCTTAAAAAAGAATCCATACAACTGAGTCTATAATATCCTGAAAAAATTGTTATTCGATTATTTATTACGTGTAATTTTTAATAATAATATATTATATTTTCATCGTAAAACACTGCACGTGAATACCGATAGACATTGAACAGAATATAGAAAGTTTGAAATCGTTCGACGTTATAATTTACGTACATTTATATAGTTACATAGAATCGTATAAGCTTATTTAAATTGGTTTACCGTTGAGTATATGAATAGAGACGGCTGCCGAGGCAGATGATGATCCAACCAGACACGTATAGTTGCCTGAATGTTTTTTCTGTACGTGTTTGATTTTCAGCGTGGACACAACTGTCGTACAACTAGAGTCATTGTTGGCCCTAAACGAAAAAATAAAATTATCTTATTCACAGTAAAAAAGTAATGAAATAAAAGAAGGCACAGAAACACAAGTTCAGAGTGAGAGAATATTTCGAATTATAAGTAAACATAAGACTCAATGTAATTGCATTTTTATACAACGCGATAAAAACTTTTAGCACAGTGATAGTAAATATTTAACAGGCACACTATTTTAGATTAATAAAAAGTATTAAAATAGATTAGACATTAGTGTTTAAGATTCTTTTAAAGTAGTACTATATGACTGCAATATGCATGGTATAATGTTTTCAGCTTTACAATATTGAGTAAATGAAAAAAATCATTAACAAAATAAATACAATTTATACACGGGTAAATTTTTATTAAATTCAGTTATTTTTGTACCATGTGATTTAATGTATTATTATTATGCAATTTCTAATTTTTTTTTATTTATATTGTAGGTAAGTGTACAGAGTAAACTGAGTTATTACAAAAATACAAAATATAGATATAATCAAAACAAAGTCTGATAGCGTTATTTAAACTCCAGGTGGAAAAAGAAAACAATTATTAAAAATCATTGTAATTAAATAGATATTGAACGATACCATACTGAAAATTTTAATTAGGTATTTAAATTTTTCAGAGTAAATTGTTATTTTTATCAACGTATTGAAATAAAATACCAACGCAATTATAAATTTCAACAGCTTATGTCAAATAAAATAATCAGGGTGGAAAAAAACAAGGTAATATGTTAATATGTGATTTTGTGACTTTTTCCTAATCTTTGCATTAAATAAGAATATATATTTTTCTTTTAATTTTTATTAATACTGATGGTGATAAATGATTTCTAAAAATATTGTTGAAAATGCTAAAAATTAAAAGAATAGCGTGAAATAACTTTTTAGTGTAGATTTTTGTGAAAAATATTATTTTAATATTAAAACACGGATTTGTAGTAACAACATTTTTTTGTCATTTTTAGCACCACTAAGCATCTCCAAACACTATGGTGGTATAAAAATGGTAAAAATGATGTCGCATATCAAATTGTATGAGAATTTTGCATTCGATTCAGTGGATACATTATTTTTTGATTATCATGAAAACTATTATTTATTTATTAAAACATATAATCCTATTTAAGGCATAGATTAAGATAATCACATTAATTACCATATATTTTTTTCACTCTGTAGAATAAATTGATTTACAAGAAATTATGCATACATTAGAAAATTAAAAAATAAAAAAAAAAACAAAATGTATAGTTTCTGAGTAGGTATTTGATAAAAAAAAAATAAGAATATAAGATTATGAAGGGGCGGAACCAAAGAAGAAATAGTCCATTTAGAAAATTGGATTTTCCGGAAGTGGATGGTTTTCTTATATTATCTCAGTTGTATTATTTTTTCATTCGAATTGAAAACGTAGAGAGTGTATGAATGTTTTTAAGAAAAACCGGAAATAACAATGAGATCTTACTCGAGTTTTACCGGAAGTCAGCCTTTTGTGCAAACTCTTGTTCGTAGTAAGGTTTCTAAGAACTAGATTAACGATATTTCAACAAATTTAACGCGTTCGAGTTGGTTTCATAATTTTAATTATTGAGTTTACCGAAAGCCTAATATTACGGATGGTCGTTTTCTTGTAATTATTACTTAGAACCATTACACACCTTAGTACGTCTTTTTTATAAAGAAATATATATAAATATAATTGTTTTAAAATCTTAAAATATAATATCTATTCAATCTTGACAAAATGTATACACATATACATGGTATATATATATATATATATAAACCAATATACATTTTAATTAGTGTATAAATTACTTAAATTTATTGTAAAGTTTCCTTGAGAATGTTATGTTAGAGAATGCAATTTTCAAAATCATAATATTTAGGCGTAGACATTTTATTTAAAGGAAAATATAGCCTTTTTGACATTGGACCCGGACATCTCGGCATGACCATTTTGGCGTGGCCGTCTCGGTGTAAACCATTTTGGCGTGAACCCGTTTCGGCGTACATTCAATTCTTTTAGACTTTAATTAGATTTTTACTATAAACGTGCTGTATGCCGGTATAGTATATGATTCTAAACACGCTACATAAATGATATTTGTGTAAATTATATTATGGGATACGGCATCGGCCAACAATAATAATGATTATCCCTCTAAATATCTAACCTAATATAAATAAAATTTAAATAAACTAATGAAAACTAATATTATGGGCTATCCCCTTTAAAAAACTAATGATGTTATACGACTGATGATTACGACTGTTATAATTATTTACAATTTTTTTTATTCTTTTGTGTACATCGATATACTTCTTTTTTTTCCAATGGGGACTTTTTTCAGCTTCTAATTGATTACAAAATGTATCACGACCAGATTGTACTTTTCTCAAACAAGAAATGAATATCCATAAGGTTGGATGCTGCACATCCATTTGTAAATAAAGCCGTATGTTGGCTGCCTTAGCATAGTTGTTAGTTCTGATTTAAAAGTCAAATTAAAAAATATAAGTTTAAAAGAATTGAATGCACGCCGAAATGGGTTCACGCCAAAATGGTTTACGCCGAAATGGTTACGTCGAGATGTCCTAGAGCGTTTTGACATTCGTAGTGTAATTGTATATTGGATAATATTTTTTGCAAAATAAGAATACAATATACAAAATATAAAATATCTAGGTGTGTAACTTGTTATTCAGAGGAAAATGAACCCTTTCAACAATAATATTATAACTGTATTATATATAACTTTTAGATCTAATTTATCAAAATCTTTTAAATTTACTACTTCTTTAAGTATTCAACAATTTTTAAAAATAAAGAGTAATACAATTTTATTTTCACTGTATAGAAACAGTATTTTTTCAAATCATTGATAAAAAAAACAACTATAAATTAGATTGCTATATACTAAAAATTGCTCGTATTATTGTATATTTTTATTTATTCATTAACTAACTATTTATTACATGATAAGATCGATATATATATATATACTATATATTGTTATTATATAATATATACTACAAGGGTTTGTGCACAAGACTGCACTATACCTGGGTCTATGATGTTATGTTTAATGCCTTAATAATTTAATTTACAAATTAGGAGTATTTTTAAAAATTGTTCTCGCTGTGTGAACATTTTGTTTGAAGAATAAATATTTGTATTTAACAGTAATAATAATAGTTGAGAAATGTATAAAAAATACAAAAATCATTATATAGAGATTTTTGATGACAGAATTTTTATTTTATTTACATAACAAAAAGCGAGATACAGCGGTCGGGTAAGATATAGGAGTCGGGTTAGTTACAAGACTCTTACATACGAAAATTATGTATCGTAAATTGTTCATATACACTTGAAATCAATAAAATTGTTTTTTTTTTTTTTCGAAGAATACTATATAAGACCTTTGTTTTTAATAATTGTTAATAATAATTATTTAAAATGTTAACTATTATTTAATGTACAGTTTGTACATGTAAAATCTTTATCAGGAATATTATAAAGTTTCTAAAATTTTTCCAACATGAAGATAAAGAATAGGGTACAATACGATGTATGTTGGTTTTTTATTTTTTGTGAATTTTAAGGAATATTTGATTTGAAAATTATATTTAAATCCAGATTCTGTCTGATTTTTTTCTTCGCAGGATTTTAAAATACCACTACTAATCATTTGGTTAGTGAAATTTTAAAATAATATAAATATAGAATGTATATATATATAAAAAAATAATAATAATAATAACATTAATAATAATAATTATCAATAATTAATAATTTTTCTATGAATATAAACGGAATAGCATACAAAGAAACCGAGCCTACCTTTCGGTGATTCCGCTTGAAATGGTTTGTCGTCCTCTAAACCAGGATACTTTGGATCCATTGTTGCTACCAGCGTGTATTACTTTGCAGACGATTTCCAGGGTACTGCCAGTTTTATAAAAAACGTCGCTGCCGCCTCTGGTCACATCACCGGTACCTGTTACTGACATGCGTACCGTAGGTACTGTGAACACAAAACCCAAATTCAGTATATTTATAATGTTATTATTGATGAAAGACCTCGTACACACAGCACATGTATAATATGCTGTTGTGGTTATTATCATTATCATCATTAAATTCACTATCATTATCATCATCATTATTATCGTCTTCGACAGGTATGGTTTCGGTTTATTAATTTTGGCCATTCGTCAAAGCATTCAAGCCACTGGAAGTAACATGACATAACTGGTAACTGGAAAATTATATCCACCGAAACACTTTTAGAGTTTAATACGTAAATGAAGAAGAGACTGGCGTAAGGCTTGGTGGACAGGTTAGAGAGAATATAAGCCTTTATTGGATGTCTGTGGAGACGGCGGTCGCCGCTGTTTCCAAACGACTGGTTTGGGAATATCCTAGGAGGTCACTCGTTTCTCGTACAAACGAGACCCTGGGGGAAACAAAAGGACCGAATTTAATACGCGCCTCTGAAATTATGTATACACATTGTTTCAATTGGTGGTACCAAAACCTTTTGTCATAGCCTTGGAATATACAACCCTGTTTTACCTAACCGTTTCAAACATAAGGAAAATACTATTTACTAAAAAAAAAAAAGCTCGTGTATTTTTTAATTTTAAAAATAATTAACGCGTTGGTGATTAGAATAAATGAAAAATATCTATTTGGGTACAATTAACAATTATTAAAAACATATAGTTTGATATACTCCATAAAACTGAAGAATAAATATTTTCACGTAGAAATATTAAATCGACTTTGAACGTGCAATGTTTTAGTTTTTAAAATAAAACTTTTATTTTTGATCATAGTTTATATTCAGTTTTATGAATAATTCTTAATACTTTAAACTACCAACACTACCTGAAGTTTATTAGGAGAGAATGAAAAGGTACAAATAATTTTCTTTATCAGTTAATCTTACCATCCACACCTTTAAAATTAAAATTTAAATGGTAACAGCTCGTGAATCGCTTGTTTAATAATACATTTTGTTATACAAAAAGTTTTATAAAAATATTTTGAATAATACTCGACGGAAGGATATATTATAACAGTTATTATAATAATATTTTCCGTGATATATATATATTATAATTTGATGAAAATTAAATATATTATTAGTTTTTATTTTTTATTTTGGTAATTGTTATTAGTTATATATAGGGCTCGAATTTATATTTAAATGCACATTTTTCTGTGACTTGATAAATTAATTTAGGTAAATGATAAATTCATTTCCAGCGATTTCCAATGAAATCAACTATATTTTAATTTGCATATTTTGCTATAAGTACATATTTTTATATATTTCAACAATTTGTCTATTTACGAATTATTAATGATTCAATACAGACAATTTCCCATGTTTCCAAAAGTTCGTAAACAAAATAATACCAATTATTGAATGTAATCTACGGTTGATATATTTTCGATATTTTAATATTTCTATATGTTCTAAAAAAAAAAAAAAAAATACTTAAGTTCAAAGTTTAGGACTCATAGAAGAAGCTGTAAAATGCATAGAACAACTACAACAACCATTGGGAGTTTGTATTAAAAGAAAAATGTACATTGTATTAAACAAAAATCCTGGTTTAAATTACTTAAAATTAATTAGAGATGATACATTGCGGAATGAATGGTGTAACATTGCAGGCTGAGTTCACTTCTTTGAACATTAGAAATATGAAATTTGCACCCATTACCTCTGTTGAAGTCGAGCGCTCCTTAAGTCAATACAATTTTGTGTTACGACCAAACCTTAGATCATTTAACGTTGACAATTTGAGCAAGTATATGATATCTCATTGCTATCGGTTCAAACGTAAAATAAAAAGAGTCTTTATTTATACCTCTCGTCTTACGTGGTCCTTCGATTATTTCTCGGATAATGATAAAATGTATAATAATTAATAATTTACCGTATCGGAGTGTATATGCCACGCCAGGTGAAGATTGTGGTTAGGAAAGGTTTGTATTATACTTATGATTCACATATAATCACAGACGATTCTCGAATCGGATACAAAATTCTAATGTTACGTATGTTTTTATAGTATATTTTATTTTACTGTTTATCATATGATTTGTTTCAAATCAATATGCGGAAAAAAGTTTAGTTAAGGTTATTCTTGTTATGGTGTTTATTATAAAGTTTTTATTCATTAAATAAACGAGACTAAAATTTAAAAGGTGTCATATTTGATAGACATAAAGGAGAATGAAATCATGAAGTTTGGTATAATAATGCAATTTAGTCAATCAGAGAGCAAGTACTAAAATATATCTGGAACGATGCAATATGAATAATTCATCATTGAACATTTCGAATAATTTCGAATAAAATTATAGAAGTTAAATAATACTTGATAAGAAACATTTGAAGCAATTTATTTACAGTAAGTTGATTTCATTTTTTTGTCATAAAGTATATTATTACTATAGAAGAATTTATTTATTGGGTTACTTGTGTTAGTCTGTGTGTGCATAAATTAATTTATATAAGTGTAAATAAACCTTCGATAAATCTTTTAGCTAATGTTTTGGAATAATCTCACTTATCAGGATTATTAATCTTGAAAACAAATTGAAAATGTATTGAAAAAACCCACAGACGTAATAAGTTATTATTGCCATAATCAATTCAAATTTAAATTCAACGTTTCAATCTTATAATGTTTAGTGCTAATCATGAAATCTAATTACCACATTTGAAGTAGGTATAATCAGTTGATTAATAAAATCGAATTTAAATTTAAATATATTTACCATTTTTATAATCATTTTTGAAATCAATAGAACCAATCGATTAATTGTAATAAAAATGTAATATTGAAACCAAGCATACATGATTATAATAAATTGAGTTCCTCACCATAACGCAACATACATTTTACAAATTTTGATTGGTTATTTGTAGTGATGGGTCGAACTAATCGAATCTCGAACCGAACCGAACCGAACCCTGGCAAGAAAAAATATTGTACCGAACTATCAAGCATCTTTTACTGTTCGAAAATCGAACTTGAAAATATTTGTCGAACCAGACTTACTGGCCATGATAGTTCGAAAATCAAATGTTTGTACAATTCTTCAAAAGTTATTTTTGAAAAATAAAAATTGATAATGATTATTTAGAAATAATTAGACTATTGGCGATAGAAAGTGATAATCTGTAAAGGGCACGTTATGCATTATTTATATTAATCATAATGTTTTTTTCCAGCGGCATCTTACATATTCATCCTCCACTGACCAAAACATTAATAAGTTGTTTATCGCCAATAGAGGCATTGTATCTTCATTCATAAATTAGTTATTTTTTGTTTTTATCATATTTATTGTAGAAGTTAAAATCTATTTTGGGTAAATCCATGATAATATTCCGATACTGTTACTGTGCTGTTAATAAAAACATGTTTAAACTTAAGTCTTACATTATAAATTCTACTTATATTTGTGAATTATAGTTATTATTACTATTTTTTTTTATACATTATTAAAATATACTGATTGTATTGTCATATTACACTCAATACTCAATACTCAATGAATATTTTATAAGCTAAAAGACAACACGAGAGAGCACAATACTGATTTTGAAAAATAATAATAATAATAAGAAATTATCTAAAATTTAAATGTTTTGTAAATAATACAATTACTTAGACTTAAAAGTTAAAATGTAGAATAGGTAATACGAAAACTTAAAATACAATAGTAATTAATAATTATGGTTGATTTAATTTGTGGGTAAGTGCATGATAAAAAGTATTGAGTTCGAGTCGAGTTAAGACTTAAAATTATAATAGGTTCGATTCAGTTCGAGTTCGAAAAAATAATTTAAAGTTCGATTCAAGTTCGGTTCAATTTAAAAAATCAGGCTTCGACCCATCACTAGTTATTTGTGTTGTAAATACAATTTATATTTTGATTTTCTGTTAGAAATGATTAAAAATTACCAATGATAAACGCATTGCTTAACACCAATCTAAAATATACATAAATTTTACACTTAGGTCATATACTGTATATACCTATATTAACTGTATAAAAAACTAAAGCGAATATAATAATATGACAAGTGACATCAATATCAATTTTTATCAAATTATTTTAACAGCGACATTTAAATTTTTATAACGATAATTTGAAATTATTAATTATTTAAAAATTATTAGCGCCAAATAAATTGATAGGTATTAATGTGATAAGAATACGCGTATGCGCATATCGGAATTGTCACCTAGTTTTGTTAGCTTCAAAAATTGCTCCCGTAGCTCTATCCATAATATATGATCTAAGATATTATACATATGTGTTTGGACAATAGTGGTGTTTAATTTATTTGAAAATTTACGTAAAAATAATTAAATAAAACACATTCTATTAAGCTTTATTGTAGTAATGAAATAAAAATTTACTTTTTTGTATAATAATATAATTGGACTGAGGTAGTTTAAAAATATTTATCTTATCTATGGGACTGATATGATTGATTATACATATTTATGTATTATGGACGTTCATAACGAAGCGAGTATTGGACCTCCAAGATTAAGGATGGGGTTGACTGACATAGTGAACTGAAAAAAGACGTTTCTCTGTTTTTGTTATTTATTAATTTTGAGTTTTTTTAAAGGTCATTATTAAATGAAATGTGAAATCCTAAGCAAAGGGTGCATACTTTTAAGACGTATTAGGATCATCATTTGATTTGTCCGACGTGTAATCATCGTCACATTTGAAATTTAATTGTTGAAACTGTAATTTCTAGCGTCCGTTAAGGTGTGCTTTTTATCGCATAAAAAACGATTCTGACTATTCGTGATGTTCAACTATTTTCATTTTTAAAATAATATATGCCTATTATGTTTTTTATATCTATAGATTTAGCAAAATTTAGAAAAATTACTGATTGACTGACATAACGGATCGTTAAATTTTAGGTTTTTATCATTTTTCCATCAGGTCTTGGTGGAATAGACAACGGTA